TGTGGAGAAATTTACCTTCATGGGGGCTAAGCCCCCTCTCCATTCTCACACTGACAGTGCAGGTGTGTCCATGGGTCCGATCTCCTCTCTCCATTATTAGAGATGGAGGGAGATCTTTTGTCTTGCAAAAAAAGATTCATTAAGCCATTCCAGATCATCCACATACTTACTTACAGATTTAGAGTGCAACTATATTGCTCTAGATCAAAAGTAGTAAAATGGACATATGATCCTTGCATGCGTACAGCACTCTCTCCTCTCGTGTAGGAGAACCTGCATTATAATATATTCATGTGTTTGTCTGAGGGAGCTTCTTTTTCTAAGATCAGTTAAAAGTTATGTAGTATTAGTAATATGCGTCTATCCTCATAACATAGCTAGTAGCATTATGCTCAATAAGTAATATCTTGGAGTCAAGAATTCCATATTATTTGATTAGGCTAAGTCGTCAGAGCTGGCAGTTTTGCTCGAAGACATTGTCAGCGAAAATCGACTGTAGACGTAGTGAAGCACCAAGAGCGAGATTGCAGTAGTGACACATGAATTCAACTAGTGCGCTGTAGGTAGTTAACAAGTGACCACTAGTGAGGCGTTCATGCCTTTATGGAAATTTGTGGCCCATATGCACTTCAAGAAATCAAGGCATGTTCGTACATATCTTGAAGGACTGTGGAAGAGATACTACAAGTATTTATAACTCTTCTATGCACATAAGTGCCAGAAATCTCCCTGCTGTGAATAATCACTGACGTATTAGGAAGTGATTGAGTAAACGGTAGCAGAACATTACCGACAATCACATGAAAGCTTGGTTAATGTTAATCACTTCAGTTACCTAACTTTTATAATGCAATAATGTTATATTAAAATTTAGTGCTTCATAACCTGTCAAATATAGTGTAAGAATTAGGGTTAGTCTGCCTGAAATACCTGGTCATGCTGGTGACTTTCTTTGTAATTAATATTTTATAATATGTAAACCACACATTAAATGCTTTGCAAGGAAATAAACATTTTCATTTTCATTAGGCTTTTTTATAGCCAGAAGAGAATTATTTGAGGATTTGTCTTGCCCTCTAATAAGCTTTAATTAGTACTTATAATGAGCACAATGTGGAGGACCATTTGATTTGTCTTTCTGGGACCATGTTGAGTCTTTCAGATTGAGGGACCCCAGGGTCTCTGATACTATTTTCTACGACCAATGGGGGTCATATTTTATTTCGTAAGACCTTGGGAGGGGCTATCAGTTTTGAAGGATGAATCTGGTCTTTAAGACCATCCAGTTTGAAGGACCACTGTGGGGAATTTTTGTGTAGTAGAGGAATGAATAAATAATAAAAGACCATTGGTGGGCTTGGGGATACTCATCTTTACATTGACAGTTAAAATCCAGCAGTGTGCCCCTGGGGTCTCCCATGAGTCAGCATCTTAATTTTCATTGGGTGTAATAGATGGGTTACTATTTAAGATTCCCTCCTGACAATTACGTATTTGGGTTTTACT